TATAAAATATTCAAGCAATATAGTATGGCCACTGGTGTACTTCGCACTGAGCACTTGCACAACCGAGCAAAGACCTAACGCGTTCGCTTCATTGAAGCACATCTTAATAAAATAAGTCTTTCTTGGATGCCATGAGGATGTTTAGGACTACATACAACTGCTGCGGAGTTATTGAAGATAGATTGCGGATGACCGTAACGCACTTCACAGCTAAGCTAAAGCTTCACATATTATTATTATTATTATTATTATTATTATTATTATTATTATTATTATTATTATTATTATTATTATTATTATTATTATTATTATTTCGAAAAGCACGAAAGCAGGCTGCTTACTTCGCTGACAACTTCTAAAACTTGTCATTTATAAGCGATTGCGCTATTGCAGCATCGTTTTATTTGCAGCTGCATTACCAGAGTTCCGCATGGATTTGATGATCGCCAGCACACTCCAATACTAAGACGACAATAGTATCAAAAAATTCTGGTCAATGTGCACTCTGTTATTATTAATAATTTTTGAGGCTTTTCCCAAACACCACGATGTGAATATGAGCCTCGCCGTTGAGAATGACTGCGGTAATTTTGACCCCCTGGTGTTCTTGACCATGCAGCTATAAATCTATAGCTACAGGTGCCTCTAGCATTCCCAACCCCGTTGAAAATACCACTGCTACGATCAAACTTGGTCCTTCGAGTCAGCAGCCAAGCACTGCAGCCACTGGTGTCACCACGGCTGCCTAAAGCGCGTTCTATTGCTAAAGCTTTCAGCACGAAAGTGCTTTATGCCGGGGTTTACCACGGCTCCGATGACGTACTTCCGTCGCGGAAGTGGCGTTGAAAATTATATACTGAAAGATTGTACAGCCGTGGCCACGTCTATGTGTAGAGTGCTCGAGAGGTCGGTTTTCGCTCTGCAGGCCGTAACCTTGAGGCAGTTTCGGGCTCTGAAGTGGTGTATCAGGAGCACGCACGGCCTAGTTGTCAGGCTGACCACGTCACAGTCTGATACTGCCCCAAGGTTTCGCCCCGCAGAGCGAAAACCAGCTGTTCGCGTGCTCTACACAGACGTCGGCCGCGGCTGTACAAATAAAATCCCGAAGGCAAGCGTCTGCCGCGCGCAATCGGACCAGCAACCTCTCGATTCTCAGCGCGCGGCGCTAACCACTACGCCACAGGGTGGTCGTTGTGTGGATGCCAACGGCAAGCGATTTATATCGTCCTACACCGTTTGGTTGTCCTCAGAGCTTCGAAGCTTTAGCACGTTTCGGTATCAGTGGCGAGATGGCGTGACTGAGGCTCAGCGTGGGCGCGCTCTACAGGTCGTCGCCTCCACGAAGCGCCTGCCTCCGCGGAGCGTGTCCTCTCCTGCGCACGCGCTTATCAGACTCGCGATTCGAGAGAGAACGAAGGGCACTTCGCACGCTGCCGCGGCCGCGTTTACGAAGTGAGCGTGCTGCTGACACACGACGCAGGAAAAATTGTGACAGTTCTTGGCGCTTGTCCTATGTATACTTGCGCGCTCGTTTCGTGCGTCTTTCTCTTTCAACAGCACGCTTTAAATGACGAGCTGCGGCAGTTGTTAGCCCGCGTTCGTCCTGTGTACGCTAATTTCATGCCTGCTTTCTGGTCGAGGTGAGCGCTGCAAGTTTCGAGATGCTTGCCATTCCTAATGTGACTTCACAAGCTGCAGCTGAAACAATGCACACTACCATAAAGACACGTTTCACTTTCGTATTGTACCGATTCCTATATATAGGGGAATTAGCCGTGGTTTTTTCTTACTTTGTTGTTTTTGATACAGTGAAGTTATTTAGGTTGACCCTGTGCCTTAGGCCTTGTGGACGTGGTCACGCTAAAATAAATAATGGTCACATGATCACAATAGAGAGGGCGTTGATGAAAGAAGCACATGAAAGGGGGTCACGTAATTAGTATTATGTGTGGGCTAAACGGGTGGGGGGAGGGGGGTTCATTTGACGAAGCTTACATAGAGCTGAATTAAAGTAAGTGCGACGAAAGAGCGACCGAGTTCATCGTGAGTGGTGAAGGATGGCATGAGCAGCGTGACGTAAGGCAGACTCAACCAATCAAGATTTAGCTTCTGGTATGGCAGAAGTGCCTTAAACGTATTTAGGGACGACATCGAAGAAGATAGTGGAAGGGACCGAATGAAACGTTCAACAGCATTCGATTTCCGGTGGCTTGCACTGCGTGGAACTAGCTAGACTGTGGTGTAGCTGTGGCTATAGGCACCCGGCAATGCAGTTTACGAGATCTGATGGTAGCGCTAAAACACACAGCCTAGCGAGTAGGCGCAAGCAAAGCCAAGTCTTCCAATGCGTAGCCTAGCGAGTAGACGCAGCAAAACTGGACTTGCCCACGCATATTATTTTCTTTTTAGTTGTGAGCAAGGGGTCACAGCTGATATGTCAGCGCCCAGGAAGCTTTCTTTGAAAACGCGTAAAAAAGGGCATTGACACTTCAGCGTCTCAATGTGTTCAGCGAGAGTTTCATTTTCTTGGTATCCCTGGTAGGTCGCTACCAACGTGCTGAGGCGGCCCAAAAAGCTTCGTTGTGCCCTCTGGTCCACTGTCAAGTGCCTATAGTCCTGTGGTCGCCTTGACAACAATAAATACTTAAAAGCGAAATTTGAAAGGCGGCCATCAAATGTATATATGTTGAGTTTTGCGATTATTTTTTACATTGTCTGCAGTAGCGTCGCATAGCAACATAAAAAAGCTTTTGGCTGTAGTTCCCGCGGGTAGCGTAGAAACTGCGGCACTGTCGCCACATTGTTACCAAACACCAAAATAAACTCTATTCATGCGTGTTTCTGGGAACTTTCAACAGGCGCCGCTGGCTCGGCTGTTGACGGCTAGGTGGCACGCCACGTTGAGAGTGCCCATTGACGCCGTTCTAGCCGTACGCTTTCAAGCGGCACACCGATCTTACTAAGGATTGCTTTATACTTGCAAAGTATCGATTGGGCAAGAGAACTTCTCAGTGCGTTATCTTGCCTTTACCGCGGAATATACTGCACGTAAGTTTCTTTTCTCTGCCAAATTGATGGATTGCTTCCACGTTGCACGTGATAGCGGGTCGCTATCGCTACTATAGGTATGCGTCACGGAGACGGGAATATTATATATGCCAAAAAAGTATTCTATTGCACGAAGTGCTTTCAAGATCATTTGCGTGGGATTCAATGCCGGAAGTGTCCCTGAAGGCGCAGTTTTATCTTGAAAGGTGACACGAAAGGAAGCCCATTTCTGGAAATAAGAAGTTGAAAGCCACCCAGTGCAGGAAAAAAAGAAAGGTTAAACGGCACCGCGCTTCAGCAAGCCCTTTTGCTCGAATATACTTCAACTCGAAAAGGAACAAAGATAAGACGAGAGCTTTCTCTTTGGTTAATAACGTTTCCTGTAATCACACGGGTATTTTTTATTTTTATTTTTTAGCCTAACCTTGCCGATCCCATTGCTTCTCAGCGGCCGTTTTCAATATACGGCCACGGCCTTGAAACAGCTCAGTTGTTAAAAGTTTTTTTTTCTTTGTAAATCCTTCACGAGTATTTGCTGGAGATCATCTTGTTTGCGAGGAAGTTCAGTCTCAGATGTTTAAACGCTCTTCCACCTCATGCAGTGAAGTAGTATTCCCACACTTTTTACGGATTTTTTCATTGCCATCTAAGTAGCAATATTTAAACGTAACTCGGTGCATGAAAGACAGAGTTGCAATTTCGCTAATACGGATATACGCTATAGTTCACTTTGGTTTGATGTTTCATGGTAAACAAGCCATAAACAAGGAGTGTGGCACATCTACAAGAACATAAATTGCCGCATTGTCAGACACAAACTGAATTAGAAAAAAGAGTGAGGTGGCTGTTTTTATATTCATTTATATTGCCTGCAGCAGGACTACCTCATGCATGATAATGATTGTTTCAAAAAGTATTTAGTAGTATAAGCTTCCCGAGAACGTTCTCATTCTAACCTAATCTGTGAAACAGGGATTAGCAAGGAGAGATTGACGTTAACTCTATCGGCTACTCGATTTCTCCACAGTGTTCTCTTCAGTTCTCTATACGATCACCCGAACATGTCCTAAAAAAAGTGGCTGCTCACCACGTCGTCCCGATTTTTAAACGTCACTGCGCAAAACTTTTTAACAACTGAAAGGGCGTGAAAGCGCCTGCAGGAAGAAAACTAATTTCATGGTCTGGTGCATTAAACGCCATTTTAAGCCTCCTTTAATCGCTTGCAACAAGGTTTAATGTTGTAGAAATAAAAACCGTGGCGTCGGTTGGATAGTGTATTAGAGGTAACCATTACGGCAGTTTCCGAGCTGATGAGGCACCATGTTTCATCTGCCCTTCCATGAGGCTTCCAGCGCACTAGTTTCAGGTATACATTTCAAGGGGGAAAGTATTCCGTAATCCGTTAGTGCCCCATACTAAAACTAACATTTTTCTTCAGTTTTTTCTTTGTTTTCGTATAAATTTGATAACACGTAGGTATGATCTATAGTAAACGTCATATATAATCATTCAACGGAAGCGCACTTGATACACTTCGTCGGCCTTTATTGTGACTTGCATCGGAGACTCTGGTAATAACTTGACATTGCGGATTTTTTTAAAGGAGCAGTTACGTGCGACATAACCAGTACAGAATAACGATGAGCGTTTCTGCACAGTCATATGGAGTGTGACAAATAATGTTAGGGCAACCATTTCGTAACGACGTGTTTTTCTGTACTAATGCCCCGTCGCACTTATGCGCTTCGTCAGCGACGGTCGGCACACGCTGCCGCCGAAAGTAACCCGACGTGAGCGCACAGATCACAGCTGCATATATAGATCGAGCAAAGATGGCGTAATATCGTCAGTGTAGGCTATTAACATCCTATAAGCCTCGTTACTTTTACGGGGCAACTAATAACTGATTTACATATCTGAATTTTGCTATCTCTTCCTTTCTCCTTTCGCAGGGCCTCTCCGTCTCGATCCTCTACTGCTTCGTCAACTCGGAGGTGAGTGAACAGTTTCATACTAGGTCCGTAATCAGAAGCATATCGTCTGAAGTCATGACTTTAAGAGCAGTTGTCATCCGACATCGATGCTGCGTAATTTTAGCGTAATTGAAATGTACTTTTGAAATCACTGAATACGGGTATCTCGGTGATTACGACACCTGCATTGCAGAAGCCGCATTTATTTTCCGATATTCCTAGGAGGTACTTCTGGGAAAATGGTTCTGATCATGTCATGCGCACGTTTTGTACGCGAAAGAGAAAACTTGAGCACGTGACCAGCACTATTGTGATCGACTGGGGTTGTCGCGAAGCGGCCACTGTGAGCTAACCCTCGCCACACAATATCTTCAAAGCGTTTAGCATCAGTGTTATGTCACGTGCCGTGGGAGCCATCTCACAGATAAGTATACCTATCATGGCGTATTATCAGTGGAGGCTGGCTGGCCGAAGCTATTGATAACTGGCTCGTGACGTTATGGACGCACAACATGGCCTCAGCAAGGTGACTCGGATGGAGTCAAGGTGGTATAATCACGCGGTGATTAATTTGGTTTGTGAGATAACAACGCTGCTTAAACGTTTTAACATAATGATAATACTATTGGGTTTCTACGTCCCAAGAACAAGATACGATTATCAGAAAAGTCGTAGTGCAGCACTCTGGAAATTTCGACCACCTGATGTTCTTTTACCTGCAGAGACATGGGACAGTAGACAGGCCTCTAGCAATTCGCCTGGACCGAAATGCAACCTCCGCGACCGGGAACGAACCCGCGACCTTCGAGTTAGCATCCTAGCACCACAAGCACAGCTCCGCCGCGGCGGGCAACGTTTCAGCTCTGTTGCATGAATAGCTACGGAACCGGCATGGGGTGTACTGCCGATACCAACGCGACACCGCAAAGCTCGCACACGGTGATCCAACGCGGCTGTTTTGGTGACGATAGTGCCAGCCATTTTTAACTACTCGGCATCATGTTTGATCCTTGTTTTTTTTCTTCTCTACCTCCATTCGCCTGTTCGAAAGCTTGCAACCGAACAACTACGCGCGAGAGCACTGGTAAAAAATTCGCTTACGCTTACCTCGGCGTTCTGGAAGGGTGCTACTTGAAAGTGGGCATTCGGGAATTCTGCCCGCTCCGCAGAAGCAACGTGAGTGCCAGTCCAACGATTTGCCGTAATCGCGCACAGACTCTTGACACAGCTGTACCAGAGTAAAAGTTTGCCGTCAGCGACGAAAACCGCGTGCTCTAGAAGCTTCCACACGAAATCACAAAACAGCGGCACATTAGGTGGTGGTGGTGGTCGAAAGCCATGTGCCGAGAAAAAACACAAGCTTTCACCGTATTCTAGAACGTCCCTTCACTGAACGCCAGTCAGTGGGAGCGACGTCTGGAGGCAGAGCAAGCAGCTGCGTATCAGCGATAATCTGCCGCGATTCTTGAGAAGCGCTGCGTCATTTTGAGACGAGCAGAAGCACAGCGCTCAACTCTGTCAAATGAATAACGAAATTCGAGTCACCGACCGTCTGTCGATACGGAGCAACAATTTACCCAAATCAAGAAGCTACCACTGCGTTATCGTAGATGTCAATCTTGCTGGCTTCATTCCACGTCGCAACCCCCGCACCGTATAGATTCTGACGTTCCCCGGTATCGACCCCAAGTGTGACAAGAAAGGCTTGCGCAGCGTGCACTAACAGCATGTGTCTGGATGTTTCTTACTGCTGAGCAAGCTTTTTACTCTTTTTTTTTACACCTGCCTCTAGCGTAATGTCTAGGCTTGGACATATCAGCAGAGACGAGGCGGCCGGCCCATTGCTTTGACAGACTTGATCACTTTGCAGTCGACCCAGTGCTTTGTGAATGCTGCTGTGATAGAGAGGTTAGAAAAAAGTGGCTCCATTAGTAAAAAAAAAAAAAAAATTGGCAGCATATCCACGGAGTGAATGATGGAGAGTGGGGCGAAGCATTCTTCCGTCCATTCGTTCTTGCTTCCGTTCGTTCATGCGTCCGTCTGTGTGACCGTACATCCGTCCATCCGCCCGTCCACGCGTGCGGCTGTTCGTGCTTCCGTCCCTGCGTTCGTCCATGCATTCACCCCTGCGTCCATTCATGCGTCCATCCATGCATCTGTCTGTGTGTCCGTCGTCCATCTATTCAACACTCCAAGTACCACCATCTCGCATCTTTTCATCTTATATTCCCCATATAGAAGCACCGCCATCCAGCGGACATTCCAAGGACTAAACGAGAGGTGGCACACGCACACTTTCTTACGGCTTGCGCTTCGGGTCTACTTCCCACCGTTAACCACCTCGAGTTCTTGGTATATACTAGTTAACTGTATTCAAGGCACTGCGGCCCAACGCTCGCTAAACCTTCCCAAAACCCGAGAGGTTACGCCCAGCGAGTATAACGTAGCAACCTTTTCCTGTCAGATAGTGCTCAATGTACATGCCACTAGCTGCTAATGGAGATCGCAGCGTGCGCGTTAACTAAAAGCCAAATGCTCCTGTCTCTCATTCCCATTAACAGCCATTGGCATGTACATTGAGCACTATTTTTTATTGTTCAACAACGCACAGAAGAAGTCTCACACCTGCACCACCTTGGAGGTCAAAATATTATACTTGTTACACACTACAACGGCTACGAGGGATGAACGGGTGCCGCTATAAAAAGCTTCGCCTCTAAAAGAGAGAGTACGAGGGTCTGAAGTGGTGACCACAGATTGATGGAGACCACAACGTAACCGAAGCACGTGCATGCACTCCCGTTCTTGCGTCTCCTCCAATAAGCGCGGCGCACCACGTCAAACTCCAGCTGCTACGCTTCTTTACGCCACTGTTCCTCTAGGTCGCCAAATTGAACAGCGCAGACTCTGACCCGCAAAATGTATTTTTCAGTGCATTTCTTGGGTGACTGCTCCGGTATTGAGTACCGTCGTGCCTCAACTGATCGAGCTTCCCATTGGGGAACTTTAGAATACCGTTTGCAAGCGCGACGGGCGTAGCGGGCGCCATGTGAGTTTTCGAATAGCGTTTGCCCTGCCGCAAACCGCAACGCACGATCGCAGCGACGCCGTAGCCTCGAAACCAGCGCTTGCGGGCCTCATGCGGGCCGCGATCGCCGCACGCAATTTCGGATTTGCTGCGTGCGGTCCGCGAACGCCGACTCGCGTTACGACGCATGCGCAGTGGCAGCGACCGCACCGCAAGGGCTCGCGGTGCGCTGTTCTAAAACTCACTATTAACTATACAGGGGAATCTGGCGCTGGTGTGATCGTTAAGCGACCATGTAATGATGGGTAGTACATAAACTTGCCTAGTCTTCGTGCTTGTGTGATTCGAACAAACTCGTGGATTTGTTTATTGCAGTGTTTTGGTAGCATTTCGAATAAAATAACAAACCACTTTCAACATCGTGAGACCCGGTGAGCCTAAAAGGTTAAGGTGGTGAAGCGTTACTGATAAAGTTTTGCTGATGCTCGCCTCGTGACAAAGCAGCTCCTTGCCACATGAAGCGAAACCGAGGCGAACTTACAAAGATTAGACAAATCCATGTACTGCCTATCATTCCCATGCTTGCTGACCAGTGAAGCCAGTGCAGCTCCCATAGACACATATGGCCGGAGTTACACTATATAGTATATTTATAGCAAACTGTGCCTCGGTCCTCGTCGTAACCGAGCGAGAAACCACTGCGTAAACGTGAGAAAGAACGCCTGCAATTCGCATCTGCCAGTCAAAATTCAGAACGCAGGGACGTGGTACGACCGTTTTGCTCCTTGTGATGCCACCAGATTGTCCTGCCATCCACGGAGCTCGGAGGAGACGAGCGTTCAACTAACATAATGTATATATCAATTTTCAGGTTATATAACGTCCCTAAAATGTTTATTAGGGTTTAGGAAAGGTTTCACTCACGAATAAGGAAAATTTTAAAGCAGTGTATGAAACATCAAGTCCTCATTATAAATATCACTAGGGAAAAGTTTGAAGACATGTTATATTTTGTCTCAAACATTGTGTTGCACAGCTGAAAAGCGAGTGCTGCTTTTTTTATTTCTCAACTCCTAATATTTATCTTAAAAATAAGGCATGTGAAATAATGAAATCGGTTTTAACAGTTATACTAGATTTCCTTGCTTCTAAACGCAGCAGATGATCGGAATTTGCGCGGTGGTTGCCGAGTGAAATTTCTCGTTCACGTGGCGTTAGACCTTGATTCTCGAACAAATGATTATTTTTTTTATTTTTTATGCTAGACGCTGAAAACAAAATTTGCTTTTGAAATGACGATGGCATCCCCTCAAACAATTCGTTTACATGTTTCAGACAACCTGTCGTTAAGCCTCTATTTCGGCCACATGCACCAACGTAACCTAACAGCATGGACGCAGCCAGAATTTTATTCAGGGGGTGAAGGGGGGGGGGGGAGTCTAAGCCATGCTTATGTATTTTTGAGCATGCGTTTGTATGTGTGCGTGTCGTAAACAAAATCGATGTCCACCCCTACCCCCGCCTTTAGCTACGCCATCGCCTACACTGCCTAACAGAATAGCTAGGTGGGCTGGTTGGTATCGCATTATGATAAATAACATTGAGCTCAAATAAGGGACGTGGGACAAAAATGGAAACACAAACCAGAAGCGGTTATCGTGTGTGCTTCCTTTCTTCATCCTACGTCATTAATTTGCGCTTAGTGTTTTATCCCATAAAGCATAGCCTAACACAGTTCAATATAAAGAACATTCGAGGCCCCCGAATCAGTTGTTCTCTTTGGTCATTTAGCGATGACGACTAAAGGTGACATTTAAGTCTGAATTTCACTGGGTCGTCGTCATTTGTACATATTATCCGCGCCATCTCGCCCCGCCGCGGTGGTCTAGTGGCTAAGGTACTCGGCTGCTGACCCGCAGGTCACGGGCTCGAATCCCGGCTGAGGCGGCTGCATTTCCGATGGAGGCGGAAATGTTGTAGGCCCGTGTGCTCAGATTTGGGTGCACGTTAAAGAACCCCGGGTGGTCGAAATTTCCGGAGCCCTCCACTACGGTGTCTCTGATAACCATATGGTGGTTTTGGGGACGTTAAACCCCACATATGAATAAATCATTATCAGCGCTATCTCTGCGTTATACATAAACACAATATAAGTGTTCCATGCACGCTAATTCAAAAGTAAGAGCATTGTAATACAGTGCTGCCTTTCTAAACAGTGAAAGGGTGGCAGTAAAGTGGGCCTTAACACGCGCTGCATTATTTCTTGCCTTCGCTGTCCCCTCCACTGCATTTTTGAATGTTTACGCTGTCCGGGACTCCTGAGAGGATACGTTAATCTCATTAGGAATAAATGAAGAAGAAAACAGTGCAGCAAAAAAAAAACATATAAAGGCCTGAGGATGCACGCCGTGATGCCAGGCGTGAGTTCGCTAACCCCGCCAGAATGTCGCTAATCCCGCTACCGTGGTCCCGAACTATTCGAATGGTTCCAGCGCATCCCAGCATGCCGCGCGCGCGCCAAGCACCAAAGAACAATCTACATGCAAGCGCGCCGGGCTGGTGGTCGAAGACCCCGAAAGCCTAGAAAGCAGCAGCATCCACGCCATCGTAAGCCGTCCTGGTCCCGATAAGACGCTCGGTGGCTTCTCCTTCGCTTTCACGTGCACTCTCGGTCGAGGCTCCTTTTTTATTCCTTCAAGTGCGAACGCGATTGAATGTGGCACTCGGGACCTGTTTACACGGCTACGTCGTGAAAGGCTGCGTTTCGCCTCAGAAGAAGGCACGTTAGTAAAGATTCACAGGTCATACCCCCCCCCCCCCTACTATTCACTTTCTTTTCGTTTCGTTTTACGTAAGAGAGACTCGATCGGCAAATAGGCTTAAAGAGATGGCAGCGACATGGACGCTCGTCGGGGCGCCGTGCTATCTGCGACCAGTCGTGCTTTGTGCAACACTTTTTGTCGTTCAGCATTGCATCGCTCGTTCGACTCCTGTCGACATCAAACATAAAATGAAGCACACTTGACTTCGCTTCATTGTGCCGGTGATGTAGTTTGAGCGCTCTGGCAGAGAAACTCGGACTTCATCGGAGTCGGCAATGCTTCTTATATTTGAACGTGTACCAGTGTGTGTCATTGCCACTGATGTGCATTTGCCTTTGCCTGCGTCCTTTATTATCGAAATGTTTCCCTTTTACTTTCTCTTACTGCGGGTGAAGAACTGCTGGACGTTAAACACGAAGCTATCACTTCATGAGACGTAAAGGTTGCGCAAGGATACCTTCGATGAAAGAAAGAAACGACAGAGAGAAAGGGGGGGGGGGGGGGGGCGTTGAAGTGGGCAGTTTAGAAATTGAACTTCGTGTACTTGCTGGCTACATTGGGTTTGGGAGGACATCAAAATATCTAAAACTTACCAAACTTCGGAGCCTTGGAGAATGAAGCATAATAGCTGACGCAATCACTCTACATGCGTTGCAACTTTGCACATACAAATAAAAGGTGAGGAAGAAATATATTGTGAGAGGCCTCCTACAGAAGAAGCAGACTACGTTCTTAAGGATGTTTTTTTTTCATTTTCTATCTACTTTGTTTTTTTAATGGCCCAAGCAGTACGTCTCGCATCAAGGCAGCATTTATTGTCGGTTCGTAAAAACTACAGAGTAAAATGTGCAGATATTTTTGTTCTTAAGTGCTTTTGCTATCATGCTCCATCACGATGGCAGAATAAGCTGCTTGTATTGCTTCTAATTATCACGAAGTATACTTTTCTAACAACGTTTTATGAGTACCAACTCTTGTAAAACTAGAAGCTCGCGTCGCATAGTAACGCCTTATTCAAGCTGAGCAATATATTTAGTGCATTACTTACATCGCCCTCTCTTTTTGCTTGCAGGTGCAGACTGCGGTGCGCAACGCATACATGCAGGCGATGATCAGGCGCAACCCTAACCGCTACTCCCGCGGCCGAGGCCTGTCGCAGAGCTACTCGACCTACTGCGAGGCCAGCTCGCTGGCGCCGGACCTTCACCCGCACATCGTCGGACACAAGGTGGCGCCCATGCGCAAGGCTTTGGGACCTGCTCGCCGCTACTCGGAGGTCGAGGTTGAGACGCTCGCCTCCATCGTCGCCCCGTCGCACGCGCAGCCCACCATCAAGTGGGAGCGCAACTGTTACTTCTGAAGCGGCCACGCACCGATGGAGACAGAGTCAGGGTCCAGCCGGTCACTCGCCCCTCTGCTAATAAGACCAAGCATGACAGGGTACTCCGTCGGTGCCTCACCGGGTACCCTTTCGGTCATCAGAAGGCCTTATGACCAGACTTCGGTCATCAGAAGGCCTTCAGAAGGCTTTCGGTCATCAGAAGGCCTTATGACCAGAAGGCCTTATGACCAGAAGGCCTTATGACCAGACATCAGAAATTCATCACCAGACCAGGAAAGCTTCTACAGACGCAGCAGTGGAAAAACACAGCTGTTCTACTCTGCAAATGTGTCCGCGAGGCAGGTGGCGACGTAGGTGGTTCCCACTAAGAACGCGTCGGGTTTTCCTTCCCTTCAATCAATTCAGTGCAACCGGAGACGGAGGGACAGTTACACAAATCCTGCCCACATCAACGCAAGACCAATGAGACATTCATGCCCCCGAAGCGAAAGAAAGAAAAGGGACTTACCGACGCGTCTGCTCAGAAACTCCTTTTTTCCCCAGCAGATGTGCGCGATACAACGTGTGGTGTGAAAGGATCGTGTTGCGTGCCGTACTGAACACTTTTTGCCAGTGTTTCATGTCTTCGGTATCTCACGACTAGCGAGATTCTTTCACAGTCACGACCGATACTGAACAGCCAACGTCCCAGTGTCCATCTTGTCGACAAGTTGTCCAAAGGACGCTGAATATGTTCGTCTCCATGCACAAGTTGCCGAAGAAGGTGTGTCTACTTACCTCGGAACAGACAATGGTTCCTCATTTACATTTTGCCGAGCATGTCACGCAGCCTATATATTTATTGCCATATGTTGATTAGGAGATGTTGGTGCTTTCATGTAGCTCCGGCTACATCTTTTCACAGACAGTGGAGGTATTATAGATCAGGTTTATGAATATGAAACTATATAATATCACTCCTAGCGACAGCTTGTCAGCTAAGACGTAGCAATTTAGATAAGCATGAACTGCATTCAAAGATTGACCCTAAGGACGACACAAATACAGTCCAGGCACACAACGCTACACTGTTTATGTATTGAGGCATAACACGACCAAATGGCACATATACATTGACAAATAACGCTACACAAAAAGTCCAGCCATATCCTTACACTAAACATCGGTAGGAATGGCAGGCACGGGGACATACGCTCATGATCACAGTGATGACCTAGAATCTCAGTTTTGAATATATTACATATATTACCTTTGGAAACTTGTGACATGTGAAAAAGCTTACTGTTGGGTTAGCATATTCGTTAACGAGACAAGCTGTGTGCAATGGCAGTTGCGCGATGCGACGTCATTGTTGCAAAACGCGACCATCGAGGAATGGCAGAGTTTTTTACGGCTAGGATATATCCTACAGCAAGAATGAAGCAGCGTTGTAATAACTTTGTCATATATGAGAATGACGAGAAATGTTGTGTTGCTATATATGGTCGTCTATGGATTACAAGGCGTCGGATAGCTGTAGACAAACTGGTTGCAGTGTACAGAACTGGTTCTCATAGCATTTAAGCAAAGTTTTCGCGAGAATATCTTCGTGCGCCAAGTGAATTCCGGTTGTGTCTATATAGCGTCCCTCTACATAGTGGGCCCTGCATAGCATGTCGTAGTAGCAATCTTGAATTCTCGCATTATCACCTAAAAGTTGTATTTACTACTTTTGGGACGTGCTCAAGTGTCATCCTCCTCCTCTTTTTTTTCTGAAGATTTCAGCGCATTGAACATTGCATAGCCTTAATCTTGTGATTTACTGAACTCTGCTTGTCTAATTTGTCCAACCATGCTACCTGACTTCTAATGAGCACTCCATTATGATTTAAGCAGCACTGAAAAAGCCGGGTGGTCGAAAAGCATATGTCCAGTTTTTTATTGTTGCCAGATAGAACACTGTGCCCTTCTGGAATTATATGCATAGCTGATCTTGTTTGTGTTGCTTATCATCGTTATGTGCCATGTGACTTGACAGTGTAAGAACAGTATGTTAAACCGCAGCGAATCGCAAATAGAACGGTCCAACTAGTTTTCCTAATGTAAGTGGGACAATTCGATTGCTCAACCGCGCAAGAGAATCGTTTTCGAACGAAGTGCTTGAAGTGCATAGACTCTCCACCTCCTTTGACTCAATTTTGTCCTGTTGTATGGTAACCAGTGCCACCGGCCACACTCAATAACCTCTGACTGCGCTACATTTTTCAAATCGCATACTCTTTCATATAACTTCTCTTCTATACATTTAGCCTCGATATTATGGCTCGATGCCGTACGCTGGCAGTTGTACACACTCTACTACTTAAGTCTTGAATTTATGTCCCGAACAGTTCCTTGGCCTACTGCTATGCCGTTCAATTCCCTTTATTGTTAGAAAGTTAATCTTACACAATGTTCAAAAAACGAACGAATGACGTGAATGGCTGTATAACTGCTACAGGCAAAGGCGGCGCAGCCAATATCGACAGTGGCGCAAGTTTCACAATGCGTGACGTCCTGCTCGTAACGTGCTGCCGAAACAACCAAGATTTCCGGCTCGAGTCACGAACTACTGCTGCTAACGGCAGGTCGATCTATTTGCAGCCGCAAACGTGCGCTTGTTGCCAGGAAGGTTTCGAGCGGCTATTTCGTTTGCAACAAGTCACACTCGTTTTTGTCACATCGAGTGGACCCAAAGGGCTCTTACCCGGGCAAATTAAAGAGAATTTATCTGCTCAGTAACTTTTGGGAAATGACACATGACTTACTGCACAAAACGGTGACGCCACAGCAGAAAGCTTTCCATAGACCTACAGGCAACGTCTGCATGGATGCTTGGATGAAACCTGTAGTTATTTCTTATTTACCGAAGGAAGAAAAAAGAACCGCATTTACTTGAGTAGCCATTTGAGTGAGTTGTCGAATTGTGGCGGGTTTTAATCGCTGTTTGGTTATTGTTCTGGCTGCTTGACGCACCCACAACCCCGGCTGCTCTTTTTATATGGCACGAAGCGGAGTGAAGCTGTGCACCACACTTCTTACTGAGCATTTGCGTCATGTTTAATGTACGAATATATGCTCGTCAGTGTGAAGTCATTAGGTTCGGGCCCATAATTCCTCACTGTGATGCTTGTTGTGCGCGAGGAAACGCGTGGTAGTAAGAAAGATCAATCATTCCCTTTCCCTATTTCATCTCCAAGTGGCACAGCGCGTTGCACGGCACCCTTCTGCACAACTGATATAGCACGCTTAGAAGAGTGTTTTTCTCATCTTAGCACAATTTCACTTTTTTTTTCCTTCCGTCGTGTAACCACGCTTTATAACCTGCCACCCTTGTGCGACGCGCAGAAACCTATACTCCAAATGGTCAAGGTATTGCTTGTAATATTGCAAACTATCTTACATTGAAAGATGTGAATTTTACAGTCTGTACTCGAGAAGAATGTACGTATACATAGGCCGCTATTTTTACTGAATATGTATGTACATATGTGGAAGTAGATAATAGCAGTGTGTGAACCTGATGTGCGGTTTCTTGTGTTTTCGTGATGAAAGGTGAACTATACGGCCTCGTATTGTTGTCAACTCCCGTGCCTGTACAGATTCAGTGAAACGCTTATTCAATTCTCGTGGTTCGCGAAGTATTCACTTGTAAATATATCACGCACCCCTATTTTTCCCGTATGGCGACAGCTGTGTATACGTGTAAACCACGTGTAAATATTCCATGGGTGCCTACCCTTTTTGTCGATCCTAACTGCTACGCACACGTGAGAACAAACTCTCCACAGAGCACCGTGCCAAGATACATATAACTCAAGGTCATTCTTAAGACGTGTTAAAATGTTGCACTGTTCCGTAACTGGATAGTCTAGTCTATATTACCTTGAATGCCTGAACCCTTCTGACTGTTCTATTGTTTGCCATACGTGATGAACGTCACTTATTAACAGAGGTGTTTGCCCCCTACTTGTTACGTGACGTGGCATCGATGAAATACGTACTCAGTAAACACTCAATTGTTAACTACAGAACCTGAGCAGATCAGACTGTTACATATACTTGCCACTTGTTTAACTTGCGCAACACCACTCAAGCGAAAAAACAGTTCTCGTCTTCTCACTTCCGATTCAACACGTGCGTTCCTTTTCTCAACACGTGCCGCCATTTTTTGAACACGACGCATTTTTGTCTGAATAAATTACATATAAAACTAAAACAAGGCAGACAATTACTTCAGGATTTACTGGCCAGGCTTGACTTCACAAGTACGACTACAAGTGTTGGATGCGAATTTCCTATCGCCGAGCACTTATGCTTTTCGCGCAACAAGAAGCGCTTCGTACTGTAATAATGACAGCAGGCTTCTTAAGCGGCCTTAATCGCTGTTTGATTACTCAACAAAGCAGCTTTATAGTCATAAAAGCAATTTTACCATGCGCCTTGCCAGAACTTCAATAGCACAGCTGGGAGATTTATGCGGGTAATGAAGACATTTCCGTAACAAGAGACGAGCTCACATTGTTGGATCTTTGGGTTGTTTTGTCAAAGCAGCGTGCGCTTAAGAAACGAGACAATAGCAAAGTTTCCTAAGGAAAATTGATTTTTGTATTGCGTATGTTAGTTCTTATTTACGTAAATGACGTCGACTACCAACGCGAAAAAAACTTCGCTCTGGAACCTGTTACGTCTGACAATGGCGAAGAGTCAAAAAGTGGTTTTACGTAAATACCGATGGTGTCTTTAATAGACGGCGGTCAAACACCCATATTAGAGTTCCTGGCTTATGGATTTCCCAAGAAAGTTTCAGATGTCAAACGCAAAACAGATTTCTCTTTTTCTCTCTCTCTATTACTTTTGTCGTGGAGGCACAGTTTGTGACAACAGGCAAATGAACAAATCAAGGTGTACAGGGCTCGTTTGATACTCTCCTTCTGTAATTACATGATAGAGATGAATAATTAGAAAACCATCCACATAAACTGGTTGTCGAACCAGCT